ATAAATAACTTTTTTGCAAAATTTATTTTTGAAAAATAGGGATAATTGCAGCAGAAACCCCAAATCTTTAAAATATTAGCAGACTTTTTACAAATTTTTGATTTGTTGTAGTCGTCACCCCAAATACTTCCAAACGTTGTATGTAAGGTCCTTTTGGACGGGTTTTCATCTAAAAATTTATCAGTTGATCAAAAAATGATTTTGACCATATTTTAACCATTTTGAACGTGGCAAAATCATAACTTTACATTAAAAAAAAAAACAAAAAAAAAGGTAGGAAAAATGGCAACCCACGTCGCTACCTGCATTATTCTTACTAGAGGAAATGATTATTCTTGAAGCAGAGGAAATGAACTTTACTAGCACCAGCAAAAGCTGAGATGGTGTTTGCAACTTAGATTGGAATAAAGCTACTCTTACAAAGTAACTTTACAAAAGTGAAGATATCAAGTATGTTGGCAAAATATAGGTCATTAATTTGAAATGATTTAAAAATTTGTTTTCGAAATGATTGGTGTGGATGTTATTTCGTAACCCAACTTTGTAACCTAACTTTGTAAGTGTAACATGACTCCTTCGATTGTTAGCTTGTCCTGAATCCGCTTCCATGCTGTTATGTAGGCAGTATCCTCATTACAGTCCTTCCATATGGATCGCCAACTGGCGAGCACAGCCATCACAGTCACAGCCCAAATTTCTTCTGGAATATCAAGCCGGCCTTCAATCAAGCACTGTCACTCTTTCAACTCGTCTTCTCAATGCCTCCTTCAACAATGACTCGTGAGTGCAATGAAAATTTTGCTAACTCAATTGAAGAAAGGAAATTTGTCCAGTATGCATCCTAATCATAGAAAGAAAGAGGAGGTGATTTTCTACTACACCAGTAGTTTTTAAACTTGGGTTTTCAAGATTTTCATTTTTATTTCTTTGATTTCGTTCTCTTGCGAGCAAAATTTGAAGGTAGCGAAGTGGGTTGCTTAAGATTTTCAATTTTCTTTCTTTAATTTGTTTATTTTGCGCAAAATTTCCAGGTTGTGAAATGGGTTGTTCAAGTTCGAATCTATGGTTGGCTCAAGATCCTAACAAGAGATTGATCTAGACTTATATTGGAATTTATATATGAAAAGGATTTTGTAGTATTTATTATTATATTAAAAACGAAAAGTAAGGTATTATTGAAACAAACGAATTGTAATAGGATTAAAATCATCTAAAAAGTTATTTTCACTCGATGTGATATTTTTATTTTTATGACTGTGGATATTGGGTCAATTTACGTGCACCTCGACTAATTTCACGGAACCCTAAAGTTTACGGTCGGGTACTCATCTCTGTGATTCTGAATGGATTCGAACTGGTGACTATTGAGGAGCAAACCCAAAACCTTACCACTGAGTTATCCCTCAAAATTAATGTGATATTTAATATATTATATTATATAGATATAGATATAGATATAGTTATCGTGAATAAAATTTATCTCAACTTATAATAAATTCATTGACAAAGAAATATGCACACAAACAACGCATACAATGTGTTGCGTATCGGTACACTTGGCCAACCCATTAGAGCCCGTGGGCCAATAAGCCAAACCGCATGGCATGATGGTCGAGACCTTAAGGCCAATGAAGAACACACAATATCCAGAAGCAAAGCCTCTGACGTAGCCCTACTGCTTGAGGACAGAAGTGCATTGGCCGAGTTGGTCCGTACCAAGGTCTCTATGTCGAAACCAAAGCTTTGAAACACCTTTGGTATCACCTCTCTTAAGAAATCCGGTCTTACACAAGAATCCTCTTTGAGTGATTGATGAGATGCCATTATAGAGTGGAAATGACTTGTCTTGTCAAATATAACGGTGGCTTTGCCAATTGATAAATGTATAACATGCTAGGTGATCAAAATGATGCCAAGGATTATGTTAGTAAACTAACAAGATGAGGCCACGTGTACTCCAAGCCGAAGACCACGATTTAACTTGTATTACTATAAATACTCCCTCATACACCCATTGTGAGACTAGTGCAAGATTCAATACAAAACAATTACTACACATTTTACTCTCTTGCAACACAATCGAGTTTACATAAAAATTCAACAAATCACGAATTGTAATTATTGTAAAATCGTTATTCGAATGTCTTGTCGGGTTTCGAACGTTGTTGTCCCGCGCCTTTGAGCCGCTCTCATGCCCTCTCTCTATCCGTTTCAGATCACCTAGGTGTCTTAAGGTGTGAGATTAAGCCTGCGTGTGCGCGGGTGGATTCGGTATCTGTTTTCCACGTGATCCCAATCAAAAACGAGGTCAACACAATGTATCTAAACAATTGAAGAGAGGTGTGACAAATAGAAATTCTTAGATTGATCTAGACTTATATTGGAATGACTTTGGTTTGGGTTGATTTTGGGTGACGGTTTGCTGTGGGGTGAGATGGGGGTGGAGTTGGTTAGGGCTGCACAAAAAATCGCGAAATCGCAAATCAAATCGAAATCGTTGAGTTGAAACCGTTGGTTTGGATCCGCGTGAACCCGTGGTTTTATTTTCTCTCAAATCGAACCAAACCGTTTTAAAATGATTTGGTTTAGGTTTTGATTTTCAAAAATCACACAAAATCAAATCAAACCGTTTTAAAATTTTTTAATTAAAACATTAATTTTGTTAACTTAAAAATTTCATAGTTTTCAGAAAAAATACCAATTTAGCAATACAAGTTACAACTATCCTATTGAAATAATCATGGAAAGTAAATTAGTTACATCATTATTAGCCTATGGTTTAACAAGTTCACAATACACGTCCTTACCTGATATCTAAACTAAACTAAAATGATTCCAAAATCATATGAAATGAAAAAAAACATATATTTTCAACTATCCAAATCATAATTTAACAAAACTATGATAGCAAATTGTTGGGAAATATTTCATCATACCAAAGGTTGGAGAAGAAACACAAAATATGAACCATTAATCAATCACCGAATTTGGAACAAGAACAATCAAAATCAGAAAGTTAGCAACACGAATCTTGCAACAAAGAAGGCTTGAACACGATATCACTGTTCTCAAACGGTATTTGCCCCCTCTCCTTTTATTGGGATGCTTCAAGGGATCTCCGACAAATGGTTTGTAGGATTATAACAAACCTTGTAAGGAATTAAATACCAAAGCACAAGTGTAATCTCCCAAAACTTGAAGAACACAATGAGGGAAATTATGAATATGAAAAAAGGATGTTTAATCATTTTGTGGAATGAAGTATTATGTTTCCAGATTTTTCATAGTAATTTTCTTGTTCATTAATCACATATATATAGGTATGAAACATTGCATCACGAAATGGTGCCAAATGAGAGTGAAAAGCCGCCAAAACCAAATCACAATCGTCTCCAACGGTCACGGCGGGACTACCATGCGACCGCATGGCACAACTCCATGCGGCCGCATGGAAGACTTCACTCACGAGACCTTTGTCCCTGCACGCATGGCCATTTTGCCCATGCAGTCGCAAGAGCCAAACTTTGGCTTCCGTTTTGCATTTTCATTCCACCTCGGTTCTTATTGATTGTTGAACAAATATATAACACAAATCATGTCCAAAGTTTAAGAAACCTAACGTAAACTCTTATTCCCTAACATTTGACATTTATCTGTCACTGTTGAACAAATCACTACTCGCATTTGCCTATTAGTCTGCTAAATTCTACCTGAATTGTCTCTTTCTCTCTTCTCATTCGGTAAGTCTCAAATTCTCACTCAAACAATTTTTCATAATTTTTTTATTTTTGAGTTTATTATACACTTGTGAATTATGGTTTGGATAGAAAAATAATTGTTTTTGTGCCTAGATGATTAATAAATTTATCTATGGTTTGGAAAGAACGAATGACGGAACATATTAATTGTGAGAAAATGTTAAAGTTTCCTAACTAATAGTAACATTTTACTTTCATAAAGTAGTTAAAGAATGAAATTTCAATTCCCAATAAGTTGAAATTCTATCAATCTTTGTACATCTAAATATATCTCATTCAATCCTTATTTAACATCTCAATAACAAGACGAAAGGAGTTTTACCCTAACTAAAACGTAATTCTAACTTTACCAACCTTTATATAACAATATGAATGTCAAACAAGAAAATGTAAATAAAAATGAAACGTGTCTTTGTTCTATTAACGTCTTTTAGCAACCAATTTTGAAAATAATTTATTCATGGGTTTCATAGTAAATATGAATATAATTTAACATCTAATATTATTAGTTCTTGTTGAAATTTATATGTTAACTTATGTTAAATATATTACTATAATGTCGATAGGTAATTCGCGAATTAAAATCGAATCAAACCACAAATTATGGTTTGGTTCGAAAAATAAAATGGTTTGATTCGGTTTGAAAAAATTTCAAATCGCATAAAATGATTTGAGTTAAAAATAAAGTACAAACCGCCCAAATCGAACCGCGTTCACCCCTAGATTTGGTTAGGGAAGAAGACGAATTTTATTTTACCTTTTTTTTATTATTTTAATGTAAAATTATCATTTTGCCCCTTTAAAAATTGTTAAAATGTGATCAAAATTATTTTTTTAGTCAATTATCGGATTTTTGGATGAAAACTATCCAAAATAGCTTCAGATGCAACATTTGGAAAGGTTAGGGATGACAGTTGCAACAAATCAAAAGTTTGAAAAAAGTCTGCTAATATTTCAAAAGTTTGGAACTTCTGCTGCAATTATCCCTGAAAAATATGATGGCTTATTGAGCTCCTCAACGTTTGCTTTCTAGTTGAATCTTCAATTATACTATTTGTACAATATTGAATGATAATATTCATTGATATGTCAAAAAATTAACTTGAAAAAGTCGGATAATTTTTCATCAAGCCATTCAATAATAATATGTCACGTGACATGTTGTCATTAGATTCGTTGGATCTAGATTGGTGAAGAAGTTTCTACACAACCCCACATGCCTCATTATCCTTGACCTCAACATCCACTTTCTCAGATTCCAATCTACTTTTCTTTATTCCACAGATTTCTGTTTATGATAATTTTTTAATTTTTTTTTTCAATTTTTTAACAATTTTTCAGATGCTGTTTTGCACTATAAAATCAGAATCGAACCACGATTCAAATCCCCTTCTCCTTCTCTTTTCTCTCTCAGCCACTCTTCTGTCTCACCTTGCCTTCTTGATTTTCATTTCCTAGGGTTGTTTCATCCTGATTTGGATCCAAACAACTCAATTGGTTTCAGTTTTATCAATCTAGATTAGTTGGGTTTAGGGTTTAGCCCATAAATTTTTCTTCAGCATCATTATACTCAAGGATTAAGGGGTTATTTTAAGCTAATCTTGATGCTTAATTTATTGTTCTTGATCTTTGAAATTGATGTCTGCAATTCTAAGTGAGCTTTTTCTTTCTGGGTTTATGATAAATTCTTCATATAGGCGCAGGACTCATTTAGTTCAATCCTTCTCTGTTGTTTTCCTTTACTGGTTCTATTACATTTCATGATTTTTGCTGTCACTTTTCTGATTATAATTTATAAGTAGCCGATATAAATAAATCTCTATCTATATAATTATTATAAAATAAACAAAATATAGCTCTATCTCTATCAGGGTCCTGCTAAAAATATATATCTTTTTTTTTTTTTTTTTAAATCTTGAGCAATTCGTTAAGGTTTCTGTTCGACTGTGTGAAGTTTAATTATACTGCATACTTCACAATAAGGTTGACTGGGTGAATTTTCGGAAAGTCGGGATTAGGACTTGATCCATAACAGTTCCATGGCTTCATCTAGTGGGACATCGTCAGGATCATTGGAGCTTCAGAATTCAGGCTTTGAGGAAGATCTTCAGAAATTGATGGATCAGAAGAAGAGGAAGAGAATGATTTCGAACCGGGAATCAGCACGTCGATCCCGGCTGCGCAAACAAAAGCAATTGGATGATCTAATGGCCAAAGTCGCTCAATTTGGGAATGAAAATAATCAGATTATCACAAGAATGAATTTCACCACTCAGCTTTATCTCAACATTGAGGCTGAGAATTCAATTCTCAGAGCTCAAACGGCTGAACTTAGCCACAGACTGCAATCTCTTAATGAAATCCTAAATTTCTTGAATGCTAACAATGGTGGTTATGGCATTGAGGAGAATTATTCAATTGCAGAGTCTGCTTATATGAACCAATCTTGCAATTCTCACTTTGTTAATCAGCAGCCTATTGTGGGTATGGCAGATTTCTTGCATTATTGATTTGCTCAAACTTTTTGACATGTTCAGTAGGATGGACGGGAGAATTTTAAGTATCAACTGTTGTATGATTCCAGTATTGCATGCTAAATATATCCACGAGGGGTGAAGACTTTGCATTGGTAGGATCGAATGATAAGATTATTACTAGGAGAAGTTTGAAGCACTAATGAAATCAGAGGTATATTAGTTCTAGTTAATGAACTGTTACAAAGTATGGTTTTCAAGAACTTGTATTTGGCTCTCTATGTAATGCAATAATCTCTCTGTGCAATAATTTTTTTTTTTTTTAAAAACAAATTCGTAATTGTTCGTGTGACGTGTAAAATTATTTTATTAAGAGAATGTATAATGAGAAATATATATGAAAAAAATAAAATTAAAGAGTATCTACTAAACATGGGCTAATTGTAAAGAATTACAATTTTAATCTTCAAATAAAAAATCAAACGATGGAAATGTTGATTCTGGACCGCTGTTTGAGATACTCTTGAGAATTAACATATATATAAACTACATCCACCTATGTTTTTTAGTTTTCAATTTCAAAAACAAGGTTTAAAAGTAGTTTGTACAAAAATCAGGTTATAATTCAAATTAATCTGCATAATCCATCCTTCTTGACTCCCAAGCCCTAAATCTTTCCCTCCTCTCTTTATCAGTTCCTCTACCCGCTCTACTCACCCTATACTAGTGGCAACATAGCGCTATCGCTTAATGGTGCCTTAGCAAGTAGCGACGTCTAGCCCCACTTTCTCCCGGGGGGGGGGGGGGGGGGGGATGATATCTTCCCCTACTTTGAGTCACAAAACAAAAATGAATTCACGAAAACCAAATTGAAAATCGCACCTTGATTTTTGCACCTCGATTTTTCACAAATACTGTTACGCCTCTCTTGAAGAGGCTGCAAATCATAATCCACGTGGCAGCCAGTTAAGCAACATCATTGAGACCCATACTCCAAGTCACCTCCTACTTGGCCGAGGTGATCCCTCATAAGTAGCCAAGGTAACCCAACGCTTCAATCGAGGCGCCGTGTCTAGGACAACCTCCCATTGTTGAGATGAAGTGTTAGGCACACTGTAGAGAAGGAGAACGGGGCTCCTAGCATCCTCGTCCGAATAGAGCATCTTTTAGCTCACATCTTCCTAGGATATCTCCCGTACAGATCTGTTTGATGTGATAACTCACTACAACAGGCATTTTAAAGTTAAATTGTCACACTAAATAATAGATGTTAGACCTAGACCTTAGGATGACAATTTTTCTGACATTAAATGCCCATAAATGCACTCAACCTATGATGGATCAGTTGACAGGTCGGTCATCAAGATGAGGCCAATTAAATGCCCATAAATGCACTCAACCGATGATGGATCAGTTGAAAGGTCGATCGTCAAGATGAGGCCATGTGTATCTCCCATTCGACGGCCATCATCTCTCTTTTTCTACTATAAAAGCTAATACATTGTGTCATTCAAATATAATGCAACTTTATATGTCCAAACTATAAATTTGCTTTATATATTCACTCGATATCCTCTCAGATCCGACACTTCTATACATAGAAACTTACATCCCTACCACGTCCCAGCCCCTTCACTCAACACTGACCGATTTGATTGTTGGAGTGCACACGACCACCTCGCTCACCTCGAATTAGGACTCATGTGACTTACAATTTGTCTTAGTGTGAAAGAGCAAAGGCTTATTTGGACGCAAATGGAATTAAGATTTATTGATAATGTTCGCTTGACCAAAAACGAGGTCAACAGATACCAAGGGCTGGGGAAGAAATCCCAACTATTGGTGGCGGTGGCAGTGTTTTGAGTTATTTTCCTTGTCCTTTTTATATTTTATTTTTTATATATACTAAATCTGATTAAAAGTAGTCATTCACCCTTTGAGAAATTAGACGTGCACCACACATTTCAATATAATGAACCTTCGGGTGTCTATCGTTCATAGTGTCTTTGTGCAGCTGTGCTACATATTTTACAAAAGTTTGGGATGATATTAAAAATAAAAAAGTTCGGGATCTTGACTGCTATTTTATTTGTTGGTATTTCCGACCCGAGATCCCAAATCTAAAGTACAAGTTTCACATGCAAGGGACAATGCTCTGAGTACAAGCACAACTGCGCAAAACATGGGGGAATCTGGAAATATATTAATAATTGAGTACGGTTAATCTCACTAGATCCGTGCGTTGTTAATTATGCCCCTGTTTGTGGCCCGTTACATTAAATTCTATTACATTTTATTTTTTAATCTTTTATTTTTAACTATACAATCTTCCATAAAATAATATTACACGTAAATCGAAAATTTTTCATTCTTTTTCAACCACTCATTTTTCAAAAAAATACTATTCCCCCCATTAAATTTCCTACGTAATGGGAATCAAACAGGGGCTATATATGTTTTGGGGACAGAAAGAACAAGTTGAATGCTATTTTTCTTTTTTTAACCAAGATTAACTCGTCCGATTTCATTATTTTCAAAATATATTTATCTCTCTCTTTCTTTTCTCCACACATTTTTTAATATTACATGTAAATCTAAAAATTTTCTTATTTTTTAATCACACATTTTCTATCAATCTACCATTTCAAAATATTTTTTTTTTTGGCCAAAAATGGGGCTCGAACAAGCTCTTATATATATGTGTGTGTGTAGTGATGGCAACGGGGATGGTTTGGGGCGGGGCGCCCACCCCATACCCCCCCCGTACCCCGCCCCGTGGGCGGGGCAGTTTTCTTGCCCCATTTAAATTTATTTATTTATTTATTTTATATATGTATATATATTTCGAGTTCAATAAAATATGGATAACATTCAAATTGAACTTTTAATAAAGAATACCCTTACTTTATGTAAATTTAAGTTTTTGTTTTGGGATAAAATTATTTATAGTGTAAAATGATTTTTAGAGAATGTGTGGATAAAAAGTATGAAAAATTTATAGGTCTACATGTAAATTATGTTATTAAAAAAATTGTGATAGAAAATAAGTTTAAATAAAAAAGATTTTGAAATATGTTGCATAGATGAACTCTAAATATGTTATAATAGTTGTAATTAAGTATGTAAACAAATAATTAACAAACAATTAGCTAATTAGTAACAAAGTTATGATAAATTAAGGGTTGGATGAACAAATAATTTGAAATTTTCTATCTTCATATTTTCAAGTATTAAAAAAAAAAATTTCACGGGACGGATTTGGGGCGGGGCATCCCGGCCCCGCGCCCCGCAACGGGGCGACCATCTATGCCCCGCCCCGCCCTGTGCCCCGCGACGGGGCGGGTTTTTTTTCCCCATTCGGGGCGGGGCGATGTCGGAGCGAGATGGGGTAGGGTAAATTGCCATCACTATGTGTGTGAATGATCCACATATGATCGTTCTTGACATTATTATACTTGGACCTTGTAGACGAAGCAATTTTAGGACGAATTCTCAAACTCTGTAAATCAAAAGTAGAATTTTTTTATTTTTTTAATGGATAGAGATCTTACCTACTCTGGGTTGCGTGGGTAGGTCCTAAGGAAAGAGGCCAAGGAGAGCTCTCGTCAAATTGTAAGAAATGAGAATTTTTTTATCGCTTTTATTGTAATCTAGGAGTTTGCAAAGCTAACACACATTTAAAATCTAAGATCAAGGAAATTGATGACATAATGACAAAAGACGATAAAGCTAATCCATTAGAATAAACAAAATGCTCCGAAATCAATTAGATAAGACATTACAAATCAAGGGTGAAATAATAAATACATATTGATATAAGTTTATGCAAATACATCTAACATGTGTTAAGATTCACCACCACTAAAATAAAAAGGTAAAACGAACTCTTTTAACTCTTATCATGTGAAAAAAGTGTCAATTTGATAATGTTTTAGAGAAACAAAGGCTATGATTTTCTTTAGATTCCAATAACTTTTGTACCTCTCTTCCAAATAAAGAAAACAAGCAAATATGAAAATGTTTAATTGAAACACAATCAACCCACTTGTTCTTTGGGATCTCAAATTCTTTTAGAGAAAACAAAAACATTTTGACGTGACAAAGGCATTTTGAGTCACAATCTAATTGTTGAAATCACACAATTTCATGATTCCAAAGACGAATCAAATCTACTTTTTCTTTAGCCTTGGACGATTACCATGTAAATTAGAGAATAGCAAACGTGTGAAATGCCCAAATGTCCTTAGATAGGAATTTGTCCCGAGCAAATTACTTAAGAAGGACGAAAGTATCGAGAGAAAATGAGAAAAAGAAAGATTTTGTAAAATTGTCTTGAAAGTAATGCTTTTAACAACGTGTATCTTTATATGGCTTTTTTCCACTCTATAGACAATTTATTGTTTAAAAGGCAAACACTTCATGTGAACAAAACAACTCTTCTAGAAAATACTACTTTTTATTTATAGACAATCATCATTTATGTGATAAATTAATAGTTTTTGTTTATTTCGATTATGTTCTTCACTAACGACACATTACATAGCGAATTGATAGAATAAATGTGACTTTTTTTCCTCTCATTTTAGAATTCCTATGGGGTGAATGAACATCACAATCTAGAAATTGCAGGATTCTCTTACCCTTGGCAAAAGAAAGATTCACACAGCACTATTTCTCTTAAGTCCTACATATATAGGAGAGCGAAGCATTGGCGGGACACGCGTCAGTCATATATTTCGTCTTGTACTTTTTTTTTTTATTATTGTTTCTGGCTTGAATCATATCGTTTCTCCATCATTTTGGACTAGCCCATTCCTCTGCTATTGATTGTGTAAGAAGGCATGGTTTCTCTCCCTGGTTCATCCCCTAATTCATCGAGTTCTTCTCTGATTCTCTACCTTAACAATTACAATTTGTAAAGTTTCCCACTTCCATATGATCGGAGATTCATCGAAATTTTAGCAATATCCTTTGCCTGCTTCAACTTCAGCTTCAAGGTAATGTCATTGATTAATTTTACGAAATGCATGTAATGTGGAACTCATACAATCCATTCTTCTCTTCAATTGTTAAGATTTGTCTTTAATGGTGAATTGAAGTAGTTTGGTTTGTAGTTCTAGTTGATTGTTATCAAAATATTTGATCAATTGTTTGAGTGTACCTTCAAACTAATTTTGATAATATGCACTAGGATTAAAGTTCATTTTGTTTATAGATTGTTTGCTTATTTCATATTTCATTTGCTCGGTTCATTTTGTACATCGTTGGTGAGAGAATAAAAACATTTAATTTAATAGAATGCCAAAAAAATGGAGAAAAAAATACA